TTGTTTACTGCTTTTGCATATCTTGAAGTCCTCATTTACCTTTTACTGAGGTAAAGGCTGTTAGTGAATGAATCATGAAGGGAAGGAAAAATGTTTAAATAGCATCCACTACTGAGGTTTTTGTCAGGATGTCAGTCATCTGCACTGATCTTTGAAGACAACCAAAAAAACATACTCAAACCATTAAGTAAAAGCTGCATTCTTCCTTGTTTTAGAAAAATGTTTCTAAGAGTTCTTTAATAACACCGTGAAGTGTTCCGATCTTAACAGAGAACTCTGTCTTGTGTGTAATAAATACCATTTCTGTACCTGTGCATAAGTGTACATTTTATTTTTAGAACCACATATTGAGTTGCTAGAACATATTTGTACAGACTGTTAATAAAAATCATCCTTATGGATTTATTTGTAATTTACTTGTGCCAAGTCCTCAGAATAAAGGCATTGTGTGACAACAAATTTTTGCCTTTTCCTCTTAACTTAAACCTTTCTTAACTTTTCAGATGACTTGCTGAGCAGTGTCCAGTTTTACTGAAGATCATCTTAATTACTTGTGGAGACTTTTAGCTGATTAAAATGGCCACAACTCCCTTAAGTTATCCAGTTTAAACTAGTTAGCTTGCTGGATGTGAATGTCTCTACAAAGTTGCTCTAGTAAGTCTTATGAATAGAGCATTTCCTTTCAGGTAATGTGAAACGCCAATAAGGATACTCTCCACATTAGTCAGCTATGTGCTACATGCTTCCGACGTAAACCTGTAAGTGTGATAGTCTAAGAGTGGCCTAATTATTCCCAATTCTGCACATAGTTTGAAAGCTTTTCCTTTTTGTTAGAGCTCTGAAGAATAGGTCTATATTCTTGAAAGCTTGTCTGTCCTTTTCTAAATAAACATATAATTTTAGATAGTACTTCTCACTGCCAAAGTTAGTTGTCATAGATTTATTAATTTAACAGTAGTTCTCCCCTAGGTGCTATTCTTATGTACCTAAACTGATAGCATAAAATGTTTTGTCATTATTGAATATTCAAAAGAAGAAATAGAATTAAATCAAGTATGTCTTAAGACATAGCGTATTTCTACTGTAACTCTAATTAAAATGTAGAATAAATCAAAATACTGAAAAAAACCAAACCAGGCTACTAATTTAATTCCTCATCTTAGGCTGTGGTTTGATGTGTTCACAGTTTGGGTTTTTTTTCTGATGCCTCTTCCTGAATTCTTCCAGATTGCTAGAAAGGGATCAATGGGTATTGATCCAATTTGTAGAACACAATTCTAATATTGATAGTAGTTTATATTCATTTGCTTCACCTTAATCTTTTATTAATGTTCATTTGCAAAATGCTGTCCATGCTGTTTCCTCCCAATTTTGTACACCTGAGCTGATGATGACAAAAAAATTTAGAGAAACATAACCAGAAATAATGAAATTATGTATTTTGGAATTAAATATGATAACAGTTACTATTTTTGTAGTCAGACATTTTTCAGTAGATGGCTTTAATTTCATGTAAACAATTACTAGTGTAGAAACAGAGATACATGAGATCCCTACAGTAGTAAGAAGTTGCATCTGTTTATGGCTTTTCAGTGGCTTTTTTCTCCTTCAGGAGAATGGGCCAGAGCATCAACACTGAACCAGTTAGGGACTTTTAAGGATGCATTGTCAATAAAGCATGTCATACAGGCATACCTCCTTGGTACAAAAGAAGCAGTAACTGATGACATCACTTTCTGTGACTGGTGGGGAAAAAAAAACACCAAAACATTAGTGACTTTCTACAAATAGCAGAGCCATGGTTAAAAGCATGTTTAATATAATTTTGGAGGCTACAATTGCACAAAGAGCTTAAATGTAAGTAGTCATGAAAATAAATGTGCCTGGTTTGAGGTGTTGTAGAAGCCAAGAGAATGAGTAACACTAGTAAATATTTAGTATTCTGATTTTCCATTCACTTTGCAGAGTTAAAGATATTTAAATTAAAGCAGGAATGGTGTTTAGTAGCACCTGCTACAGTCCAATAAGATGGAATAACTGACAGATTTCAGTGGAAATTTCATTGGAAAAGGTTCCCTATATTCACATAAACCTTTGGTGCTATCCTACTGTCATTGGACCTTCTAAACTTATTCTGAACTTGTAGATTAAGTGAATTCCTTTTGCTGCTTTGAAGACGTCATCTGTACTTGGCCTGCACTGACTAAACCTGAAACCATCCCATCAAAAAGTGAGGCCACTCAGTGCTTAGCACTCTTACATCAAGTCAAAATAGATGTTTGTTGGCGTTTCTTTTTAATGCTTTAAGACACTTGCCCAATTTAATGAATGGTGGCACTGGAAACAGTTGTGTAAAGAGAGAATGAGGCATTTTTCATAATGATGAGGGGGTTCCCCCTGTCAAATGAGGCCTCTATCAAGTGCTCTTGTGAAAGAAAAGTACGGTAGCAGTTGATAAAGGGTGGCTTGCTCCTTCTTTTCTCTTTGGTAGTCAAGGCTTCATAGGATTTCAACCAAGACATTCAACCTTACTGAAAAGTTGTTTGAGGGATATGCCTCTGCCATGTCTATGAAACCTGCTATAGAGTGAGTGATTATGTAATTTCTCTGAGGGATGGCACTAAATTCAGCCTCTGATTTGATTCAGGACAAGCTGAAATTTGTTAGACATCAAGTGAATTGTCCCAGTTTTTTACAATTCATTCCCTGCACCTTTTATGTGGCATGGCAACTGGCTCAAAAGGTGTAAAAATGACTCCTAAGTCACTAAGTGAGCATTAGGAGTTTAAAATAATTTAAACCAATGCTAAAGGGCATTACCATTGGTTGGTTGCTGATGTGTTACAAGGAGGGTGGCACATTGCTGGGAATGCTCTGTCTGAAGAGGTACATTGTGTAAAAAATACCAATTTATCATGCAGTTGTGTTTTGTACATGATGCTAGATATTACACTGAACACTCAGGTAGCTTTCAGTGCATCTTATTGCTTCTTCTTCATTTTGAGGAGTGTGTGGTTAAATCTCCTAGAAGGCAATCAGTCATTCAAAACGATGATCAGCAGGTCTGTTGCTTGAAATCCCAGTGTGAGTTTTCTGTAGTTGATTACAAAATATCTGCCCTAAAAATGTAGGCACAGCCTTTGCCACTTGATTTAATAAAAAGTCTTGTCCTCCTGCCCTTTACTGCTGTAACTTAAAACTCTGACCCAGTCAACCCTTGATTGCAAATAAGTGAGCAAGTGGGAGAAACAGAATGTTGACCAGTCGCAACACAGCCATTTTCAGAGCAGCTTTTAAAGATACACATGACATTGGCCATTAGTGAGGCAGCAAAGATGAATGGACCAATAAATGAGCATATTTAACTCTTTTCATCTGCCAAGATGAAGCACCACCTTGATGCCTGGTTGTTTTTTGGTTTTTTTGGTCTTTGATTTACTTCATTTGCATGCCAGTCTGTTTTAGTTGACTTTTAAAAACACATTTTTGTCCAGTAAGTCCCCTTAAGTGGATTGTTCTTGAGGATTTTGGTCTTCTTTTTGTTTCTCTGTTGTTATTCATTAAAAAGATTTTTAAATTTTATTTATTGTATTGTATTAAAGATTTTAATTGTAGGATGCTGTATCTGTAAGATTGCTTAAAAAAAGAATAGACAATATGAATGTGATGTTTGGCATCACATTTAAAAAATCAGATGGACTGAGGTAGTAACATGAAGTGTCCAGAAGCAAAATACATTTATGTTTTTTTTCTAATTTAATTCCATATGTCATTGCTTTAGGTGTTTTGTGAAACTTCATACTGATTTTTAGCAGCACGTGTGTCTTATTGAAAAGAAAAAGTTATTTTCATTCATTATAGAAGTCCAGAATATGTATGTGAGAAAGCAAAACACATCTTTTCTATTCAGGGTCTTTACAATAATTAATAAATTATCAGACACCTGTCAACAGGGAAAAGAAGCAGCCCATTGTTATGGTAGTGATATCCTTGCACTGAGGTTTGATTCTTGCAGCTTTTTCTGAACAGAGTATGAATGTTTCTTTTTAGGTGTTGTCTGTCAATGCACTATCAAAAATAAATTAAAAATAGAATTTAAGTTGAAAAAAGCAGTTTTACATTAAGCTACATAGACTAAAAAGACTGACAACAAATTCCTTTGGGTTGTGCTGTTTTGTTTTCAGAGTCTCAGGGATTTTCATTTCATTTTTTGCTTTGAATGATTTAGTTGGTTATTATGAATTATCTTCATGGTGCTTTGCGGTGCTTCGATCAGCAATTTATCTTGGGGTCTTAAAACACGTTCTCATTTATGTGTTTAGCTGACCAGCTGCCTTCCCTTGTTTTATTTTTTGTTCAATGTGATATAAATCTTTTTTCCTTGTGTGCATTTTTCAGCTCAAAAAATGCATCTTACTTCTTATGCTGCTAAACTGTTGCCTTTTCATAGAGGGGCTCTATGCCTCTCCCCTGCCCCATCTTCCAGAAGAAGTAGAGCAGCCCCCCCGCCCCGTGCTTGTCAGGGCACAGTTGGCCCCCCCCGCCTCCTCCCCACAAAGAGGTGAAGTCCCCTGAGTCTGTAATTGCCAGGAGATGAAGCGATGATGGGGAGTGATCACAGTCAATAGCTTTGATTAACAATAAGGTGGGAAATTAGCAATGCTAGCAGTCAGCTCCCCTGCCTTCCCGTCCCCATATGCTCACCACAGCCTGTGCTGGCTGGTTGGCAGGGTGGCCACTGCATTGAGCGGGCTGCAGTGTGAGACTTGGACTGGGCAGATAGGGGCAGGAGGCAGCGTTTTGGTGACCCTGGGCAATGCTGGCAGCCGCCTTTCACTGGGTACCACCACCGCACAGGCGGGGGAAGGACGAAGGTGCGCTGGCACTGTGGCTCTTGCTGTCATGTGTGGATTTAATTGTGTCTGGACGTGTTGTGATCAAAATGGCAACTCCTGTTACTCCTGTGACCCCATCAGCAGCTCTGGTGTTGTTTCCGACAGACTCCGACGACCTAGAGAGGGGGAACGACAGCGGGACACCACTCCCCACTTCTGATAATGGCGACAATTCACTGGGCTACACAGGTAGAGTGCATCTTTCCAAAATATTCCTTGACTGCCTTCTTCTGACACTTTCCAGCTACATCTGCCATTACCACCTGTACACGGGGGGGGGGAGAGTGGGGGGGTGGGGGGGGTGGTTAATCACCTTTGCCACCTGCCTATCTTTCACCATCGCCCTAGAAGTTCAACGTTTGTTAGTACTGTTGGGAAACATTGTGCCTTTTAACTAACCCAGATAATTGTCTTTATGTGTGTGTTGGTTCATTTCAATGATTTAAATGTTTGAAGTGATTGTTCTATTATTGAAACAATGCAGCCATTATTTTCCTTTGAATTGTGGGAATATTCGTGCATGAGGCAGTATATCATCTCGGAGAAATTTTTCCAAAGGCCGAAGGCAGGGGTTTTCCACATGGTTGTGATGGCTTTTTTGGTCTGTTTGTCTGGTTGGGTTTTGTTGCTATTTGTTTTTGCTTTGTTTCTGTTATAATCAAAAGTAATATATATTGCAGCAGGGAAAACAACTCCAAATGACACTAAGATGTGATTGGAGAAGAATCTGTTTCATTGACTTCTGCTTTGCATAAACTAGAGAAACTTGTCTCTAGGCCAAATAGGAAAAGCCACAGATAAGCAGCTCCATACAGTGTGTTGCAGCAGTGATCTCTGCAAACCCAGTTCTGCAACTCCTCTGCACGCTGACATGATACCCAGCTCCAGGAGTCACGCTATTGACCACAGCCCAGGCGCAGCTGCACAGTCCCTGACTGTAGGGTTTTCATGAACTACTGCTGGTCCAGCACATGGCAGCCTCTAGATCTAAATAACCTTTAGGTTATGAAGGTAATTCTTCTGGTGCAGCAACTTTTGGAAAGGGAAGGAGGGAGAATGAGTTGAACATTTGATTGGACAGTGCTCTTTAAATACTTTCTGCTGGGTTCCTAGTGTTACCACTGCTCACACTGCGTAAAATTGCATATAGTCAGGTAATTAACAGAAGTGTGTGAATCAGATATTCATAACTAAGACACTCTTACAGGATGCAGGAAGATGCGTGTAAGAGAGGGAGTAATTTCTTGTCCATTCATAAAGCTTCAGGTCTGTTATGCACCACTCACAATGATTATAGGTTTCATCGCCTACCCTTCACAGTCATCCCTGCATGTGGTTTAAAACATAATTTCATTCCAGTTTAAGGTACTACTTTCTACAAAGGTAAAAAAGCAAAGAAATACAAATTTCCCCACAGTCAAGAAGATAGGTGCCTTCTTAGAAAAACATAGCATGAACCCTGCTGCATGGGGATTATTTAGGTTTTTCTACCTTCTGAATACTTACTCCAAGTTTGGCAAGTCTATGCTCCTGATGCATATGAGATCACCATATTGGCAAAATGAAAATTAGTATAGCTTGAAGAATGCTTATTTTAGCTTACTGTGAGTTAGATTTTTGCTTTCGGAAAACAGGGCTGGGAATGATGATCCTATGTCTTGTGTCTAAACAGCCAGTAATTTACTTGGGACCACGAGTCAGATTCTGTTATTAATGTTACTTAATTTTACCTAGAGAGGAGCAATTGGTTCCCTCCAGCCCCATCACCCCTGCCTGGCCTGCGGCTAGTGCCTGACAGGTAGATTCCCACTCCCAACACCTCCATATCTGCCCATGGAGATGGGAAAGGGAGCCCTGCATGAACCCTCCACGTGCCTCTTTAGCCACAACAGTAGCAGGGAGATACCAGTGGGAGACACTGTTACGTTTTCCCACTGGCATGTTTCAGGGAGGGGCTGGAGGCTTGGCATGGGACCCCCCATGGTAAGTGTGATAGGTAGGTGATGGCAAGCAGAGGGTGCTAGGGATGCAGGCAGTGCTGCTCTGCAGTGGAGACTTTGTCCCCACCTTGCAGGACAGTATTTAAGACATATAAGGCAGTGTTTAAGACAGTAGCTCCTTGCTGAGCCTGGGGATGTGGGACAACTTCCCAAGAAGAGCCCAGACCCTTCTGCATCTGTCCACCCAGGGGGATCCTTCACCAGAATCAAGGTGCACACATCGCATCTGTGTGCCGTGTCCAAGGACAGGACTCTGTGTGGTATTGCAGCCATTTAACCTGCCTCTCAGGGGCTAATGGGGTCATCTGGGAGGACTGACAAAATCAGACACTGGTCTAGTAGTTCCCCAGAGGCTGTGGGTCTTAACTCCAGGCTGTGTTTCAATAGGCATTTCCCAAGTGAGCACAAAAGTTAGGATCAAGCTGGAAGCAAACACAAGCTGAACGAAAATGAAAACTGAGGGGATGGCTGGTTTTGTTTAACTGCAGTTTGTGTGCCTCCATTTGATTGCTCACTAAATGAAGGAAGGACCAAGTTTTTCATGTTTAAGGATTTAATGATCCGGTATTTTCTCTCCATTATATAATAGCAATCAGTAGCACTACGTGTGTATGGTTAATACGGAAAAGCCCTGAGGTATTTATTAAAATTAGTCCAACCGATTTCTATAGTAATCAGTAAGGATTTTTAACAATAACATTAACTGTAATACAATCTTACAGGTAAAGTTACAATTCTTTCCAATTTATGGGCCTATTCATGTGGGCCTAATATGGAATTCCTGGATTTTACAGAAACATTCTTAGATGATTTTTTGCTCTCTTACCTATAGAATTCCATTCACCAATAGGAAACCATTCCAGAAACTTGTTTGTACTGACAGAACTCTGTGTTGTTCCTAAAAGCACTCAGATAAAGTCCAGGATGTCTGGAACAATGGGCAAAAAATGTAGCAGTTTATTTTGTAATCCCATATTTATCCTCAGGTGGTGTCTGAATGGACAAAACACAAACAAGATAATAACTGCTGTTACACAGTAGGATCATACATTTTTAGTCATACTAAGTGTAGTGATACACTGTAGGGCACATCTTCCTTCTAGTTCTATACAAGTTTATCTGCAAGGTAAATAATCAAAGCATTCACTAGGATGGGAGGTTTCAGGGTTAAAGATTATAATTTTTTCCTACAGATTTTTCTTTATACATGTGTTTTTCAGGATTAATATATGCAGCTGTTTCATACTGTTCTGAAGAGGAGGTACATGACTCTTTGAGAGTGCTTCAGTGTCTTCTCCTAAAGTCCTCTTTAAATCCAGAAGTCTTGGGCTATCCCAGTTGTCTCCACTTAAGAAGTAACCTACTCGAGAAGTAACCTTCCTACCAAATAGGAAAAACATCAGGTAGTTTCAGGGGGAGGAGAGAGGAGCTGCTAACCCAAGCTATTTCAGATAAAGATTGGAGTAGGTTAATTTCAAGACTTCTATTATGGGAAAACGATGAACTTGTATTTGACTTCTCATGTATGTGACAGGACCAAATTTGATATTTTTTTATCTCCCCAATCAATAGTGTAATGAGCTGTACTTTTTGGGGATAATCAGGTTTTATGATTAAAATAAACATTATGATCATTATGAATGTAATTATTAAACATAACATTGCTACTTATTATTAGATATGAACTATAATATTCTTGATAGTTAACTATAATATTATTAATAACTTTGATTATTAGTTGTTAATTGTAGACCCAAAGAGAGAGACTGCATACACATCTATGTCGAATACTTTCCAAAAGTGATCATTTCTGATGTGGTTTGCTGGCCTGATTAGTGAAGTCACCATTCACACTTAGCTCATGGGCTTCTTTTTACCTCCCCAGGATAGTACAAGGGTAGTAAGCACCAAGTAGGAGCCTCAGTTCTTTTCTGCATAATCAATGGCTGCAGAGTAATCTCTAAGATTGCATTATGCTGTGCCATTGAAGTGTGTGCATGCATTATATTCCAGGAAATAGCAGATTTCCTGTTAAATCAACTGTGACATAAATATTGGGGATCATTTAACAGATCATAGAGTACCACTTGTGTCACAGAGATCAGAATGATGGCTTGTAAAATTAACACTAAATAGTCAAATGTTTGCAGACAAGGATCACCACTCTTCATTAAGTAGATTCATGGCTTTTTAAACCAATTTTTCCAAATAAGCTTTTCTATTCATGGTCTTCTAGAAAGACTTTTGCAGTATGCAAAGAAGTCCCATGGTTCCCACATGTGACTGAAAGTTAGACTTGGATTTTTTTCCCTCCTGATTTTAAAAATGAAAACATAGAATCATAGAATGGTTTAGGTTGGAAAGGACCTTAAGATCATTAGTTCTAACCCTACTGCCATGGACAGGGGTGCCTCACACTAGCCCATGTTGCCCAAGGCTCTGTCCAAATTGGCCTTGAAACTATGTGGTAGTGTTATTTTGTATTGGCAATGGATCCCATCCCTTTCACATTCAGTTTCTTTTTTACTACTGTCTTGTTATGTGATCAGGAGAATTTTGTTGATTACCCCTTTTTCCATGTCAAATAAGACAGATTGCCCTTGGTCAGCCCTTCAGGAAATGAAGGGGAAATCTCTCTTGAGTTTTTGGCAATTTGTAAAATGTTTCTTCTTCTATTCCAGTAATTTTACATAGGTTATCCTATGTATTATAAAGTGCCTGTTTTGAAAAGTGGAAGTTCTAAAAACACATTCAAGAAGTCTTCTAAGACTTCTTTCACACCAAAGGTGGAAATTTGGAGTAATACTTATCCTGTGAGAAATGGAGTACTTTTCAGCCATTTTTTTCTAACACATTAGTAGAAGTAGTAAATATGCATATAGGTTTTGTGTCTGAGAGGAGAAAAAGCTATGATATGCAACCCAATGACACATAAGAATGTGTTAAAGAAATGATTGCCATTTGATTTGAAATTCCTTCTAAATTACCATCTTTAAGGATTAGAAAGAATGAGTGATACTGGGGGAAAAATCACATGAAACAAAAGCAGAATTTCTTTAATGGAATGAAAAAAGACGTAGGTTGTAGAGCTAGGGTATTTTGGGCTGGGAGGAGGCTGTCATTTCAGATGTAAAGCAGATAGGTAGCAATATCTGAATAGAAGAAAGATTTTGTTTCTGTTTGAGTATT